TATTTATTATGTATACAGAAGAGGGAGCCAGATCTCATTACAGATGGTTGTGAGCCACCATGTGGGTGCTGGGAATTGAACTCAGGTCCTCTGGAAGAGCAGTCAGTGCTCTTAATCGCTGAGCCATCTCTCCAGCCCCTTTTCTTTCTTTCTTAAGCATATGGCACATTGTAAAACACACTGGAACCTGTTTAAAGGGTTTTTTTCCCATCTGGACCTTTTTCTTTCTTTCTGAGACAGGGTTTCTCTGTGTAGTTTTGGTGCCTGTCCTGGATCTCACTCTGTAGACCAGGCTGGCCTCAAACTCAGAGATCCGCCTGGCTCTGCCTCCGAAATTCTGGGATTAAAGGTGTGCACCACCACTGCCCAGCCCTGGCCCTGTTTTACTGCATATCTTTTAGCCTTTTATGACCGTGTGGGAAAACTTTAAACTGCTAAGCTATGGCTGAATCCTCCATGCAGCTCTCTTGGCTGGATCTACCCGCTGATAGGTTCATGAGAGGCAGGCCTAAAGTTTGCAGCCAGGTTGGAGTCTGTCACTGAAAACTGTGTTCAGCCTTCCTCGCTGTGGAAGCCAGTGGCTGGGCTCCACAGGCGGTCTTCACTTGGCTTGCTGTTTCTAGTTAGCACTGCCCTGCGACTGAACACAGCGCCTCCTGTTCACACAGAGCTCTGTCCTTTTTCTTTCTTTCTTTTTTTTTTCCAGCTTTCTCAGGACCTATATGGAAATTAACCCCACATTGGGCATCAAAACATAGTTTGTTTTTGCTCTTTTGGGGGCCCACCACACAGCTCCTAAATAAATCACACACAGAGGCTTATTCTTACTTATAAAGGCCCAGCCTTAGCTTGGCTTGCTTCTAGCCAGCTCTTAACTTAAATTAACCCGTCTACCTTTTGCCTCTGGTCTTTTACCTTCCTCTTACATCTGTAATTCCTACTTTCACTTTTACTCTGTGGCTGGGTGGCTGGGTGGCTGGGTGGCTGGGTGGCTGAGTGGCTGGGGGGCTGGGGGGCTAGGGGACTTGGTGGCTGGGGGGCTAGGGGACTTGGTGGCTGGGGGGCTGAGGGGCTGGGTGACTGGGTGGCTAGGGGACTTGGTGGCTGGGGGGCTGAGGGGCTGGGGGGCTGGGGGGCTGGGGGGCTGGGGGCTGGGTGGCTGGGGGCTGGGTGGCTGGGGGGCTGGGGGGCTGGGGGGCTGAGGGGCTGGGGGGCTGGGGGGCTGAGGGAAGGGGGGCTGGGTGACTGGGTGGCTAGGGGACTTGGTGGCTGGGGGACTTGGTGGCTGGGGGGCTGGGGGCTGGGGGGCTGGGGGCTGGGTGGCTGGGGGGCTGGGGGGCTGGGGGGCTGAGGGGCTGGGGGGCTGGGTGGCTAGGGGACTTGGTGGCTGGGGGACTTGGTGGCTGGGGGGCTGGGGGGCTGGGGGGCTGGGGGGGCTGGGGGGCTGGGGGGGCTGGGAGGGCTGGGGGGCTGGGGGGGCTGGGGGGCTAGGGGACTTGGTGGCTGGGGGGCTGGGGGGCTGGGGGGCTGGCCCCTAGCATCCTCCTCTCCTTGTTCTCTCTTTTTCTTCCCAGATTTCTCCCTCTATGTATTCTCTCTGCCTGCCAGCCCCGCCTATCCTTTCTCCTGCCTTGCTATTGGCCATTCAGTTCTTTATTAGACCATCAGGTGTTTTAGACAGGCTCAGTACCACAGCTTCACAGAGCTAAACAAACGCAACATAAGAAAAATGCAACACCTCTTTGCATCATTAAACGAATGTTCTACAGTATAAACAAATGTAACACATCTTAATATCATATTCTACAGCAATTACCTATGTATAGATTTTTAAGTATAAGCCTTTTTATAAGTTTAAAGCCAATTTTTGTTATAGATTTTAACCTATACTTGGTTAATTTACAAATCCCGAGATAGATTTTACAGCATAACCTTAAGGGATTTTTTTTTTGAGAGCAGAAAGCAGAGAAATCATAAAGATAAAAGATTTTTGAGAGTAGGAAGTCAAGCCTTAGAGGTAAGGGACGCTGGGATCATTTGTTTTCGTGGTGGCAGAAGTTGTTACAATCTGCAAGAACTTGGAAATCAAGTGCTCCGATTTTTGTACAATGATCTATATTGAGTCCAGACTGTAGTAATAAAATCTGAGTCCTTGGAGGAAGAGAGAGCGAGTGGAAAAATGGAACATGGTCCGGGTGCAGGGGTGGTGGTGCTATGTGTGTGTGCGTGCACACACATTCCTATAAGCTCCAGGAGGGAGCTGAGAGCGAAGCTGCGGGACTGTGGGCGGGACCTGAGAGATGGCTAGGAGAGTCCACGGGAAAGCTGTCGAGGTCCAGGTGGGTGTCGCAGGCCAGAGCCAAGAGGAGTGTGTAGCTGAGGTGGATAAAGTTTCACAGTGACAAGAGTTTTCGTCCATGTCTCCAGTCAGAACTGGAACTTGTCAGAGAGAAAAATGTTCCGAGTCACAGGGGAGGGGTGTCCCTTGTCCTTGTGACTGGAGCCCAGTGGGGGTGAGAGGATCTCCCGGACACAGCAGACAAACCAGGATCTGGGAGAGACACTTATCCGGTAGAGAAGGAGAGAGAGAGAGCAGGAGACCAAGGAGATGCCCAGGAGGAGGGCAGAGCAGGCCAGAGCCCAGAGAGACGCGAGCAGCTTAGAAAGGAGAAGAGAGCTGATTTACGCCATTCCTGGGTGTCGGCACCAGATGAATGAACACAAGAAATAAAAAGGAAAGGAAAGGACATGACCGCTCTAGGTGTGGAGGAGAAAATTTGTTGTAGATGTGAGGGAGAGGTAGCCAGAGGCAGGGACCTCTGGGAGAGTCCAGACTGACTGGCCCACGGAGGAGGGTGTGTGTGTGTGTGGGGGGGGACCTGGTGCAGCAGCCAGGAGGCCCGGAAGGAGAAGAGGAAAGGCCAGGTCACCAAATGGCTGGATTCTACAGGGAAGGGCAGCCCAGCCCCTGGCTGGAGTGTTCAGGGTAGGGGGCGGGGCATGGCAGCCAGAGGAGCAAGTCAGGGTAGGGGCTGGGGTGCTGGGAGAACCTGGCAGCCAGGTCCACTTTGGTTTGTTAAATAGGCACCTCAGCTGTAGGTCCTGGGTTTGAAACCTAAGAGTATGATTTAGCTTTCCACTGACCCTGTTCATTTGTCCTTTGCAAATCGTATATAGGATGCTGTGTTCTTTCCTTTTTCCTTTTTTCAGAGACAGGGTTTTTTGTGTAGCCCCGACTGTCTTGGATCTCACTCTGTAGCCCAGGCTGGCCTCGAACTCACAGAGATCTGCCTGGCACTGCCTCCCGAGGGCTGGAGTTAAGGGCGTGTGCCACCACTGCCCGGCTTTGACCTTTATGATTGATTTAGACTTATTTATTTCTGTGTGTGTATGAGTGTTTTGCCTGCATATGTCTGTGTACTGTGTGTGTGCCTGGTGTCTAAATAGGTCAGAAGAGGGCATCAGTTCCTCTGGAACTGGAGTTACAGATGGTTGTGAGCTGCCATGTGGGTGCGGGGAATCGAACCCGGGTCCTTGTGCTCTTGACCAAGGAGCCACCCTTCCAGCCCCCCCTTTCTTCCTTCCTTTACTTATTTATATACAGTCTCACCGCGTCCCCCAGGCTGGCCTCAAACACACAGAGATCCATCTGCCTCTTTCCCCCGGGTACTGCGGTCACATCTGGTAATCTGACTGAGGCTGGGCTGTGACATTCAGTGGGTGGAGCACTCTAGCTTCTCATGCAGAAAACCCAGGTTCCATCCTCAGCACGTGTGTGTGTGTGTGTGTGTGTGTGTGTGTGTGTGTGTGTGTGTGTGTGTGTGTCTGTGTTTGTATGTGTATGTGTGTGTGTATGTATATATATGTGTGTGTGTGTGTGTGTCTCTGTGTGTATGTGTGTGTCTGTGTGTGTGTGTGTCTGTGTGTGTGTATATGTGTGTGTCTCTGTGTATGTATGTGTATGTGTGTGTCTCTGTGTGTGTGTCTGTGTGTGTGTGTGGTGTGTGTGTATGTGTGTGTCTCTGTGTATGTGTATGTGTGTGTGTCTCTGTGTGTGTGTGTGTGTCTGTGTATGTGTATGTGTGTGTCCCGTGTGTGTGTGTATATATGTGTGTGTGTATGTGTGTGTCTGTGTGTATGTGTATGTGTGTGTGTCTCTGTGTGTGTCTGTGTGTGTGTATGTGTGTATGTGTGTGTCTCTGTGTGTGTGTCTGTGTGTGTCTGTGTGTGTGTGGTGTGTGTGTATGTGTGTGTCTCTGTGTATGTGTATGTGTGTGTGTCTCTGTGTGTGTGTGTGTGTCTGTGTATGTGTGTGTCCCTGTGTGTGTGTATATATGTGTGTGTGTGTATGTGTGTGTCTGTGTGTATGTGTGTGTCTGTGTGTGTCTGTGTGTGTCTGTGTGTGTGTGTATGTGTGTGTCTCTGTGTGTGTGTATGTGGTGTGTGTGTGTCTGTGTGTGTGTATGTGGTGTGTGTGTGTCTGTGTGTGTGTGTGCACACACGTGTGCACTCGAGCACCAACCCCCCTCAGCACTCCAGGGGTGAAGGCAGGCAGATCATGATCCCAGGTCGTCCTTGGCTGCAGGAGACCCTGTATCAAAACAAGGGACAGCAAGTCCAGACCTTTGGGTGCTGTGGAGAATCCTCTGCACTGTACAGATTGTCACTGGAACTGGTTTAATAAAACGCTGATGGCCAGTAGCCAGGCAGGAAGTGTAGGAATGCTGGGAAGAGGAAGCGGGGAGTCAGGGGTCGCCAGCCAGACACAGAGGGAGCAAGATGGGAATGCTGTGTGGAGAAAAGGTACCAAGCCACGTGGTGGCTAAACATCGATAAGAGCTGTGGGTTAACTTAAGTGTAAGAGCTAGTCAGTGATGAACCTGAGCTGCAGGACGAGCGTTCATGGCTAATATAAGCCTCTGTGATCATTTGGGAAGCAGCTGCTGGGTGTTTGGGAGCTGCTGGTGGGACAGAAACATCTGCCTACAGACGGGGTATGACCTCATTCCACAGTGTGTGCTCCACGGAGATGCCACCGTCCCCAGACAGTGGCTCCTTTGTGTGCTGTTCAGTGGTGTGGGAGGAACAGCCTGAGAGGGCCCTTGCTTAGAAGAAAGCCAAAGCCACACACTGCCTTCCTGGGACGGTGTTTGCGCCTGCATTCCAGTCAGCTCACCAGGTTTAGGTCATCGCCTCTGTTTATAACACACAGCAAATGGCAGGTTGTTGCAGAATATTACTTTAACTGTGTAGAGATGTGTTCCATTTCTTTATGCTGCAGAATATTACTTTAACTATGCAAAGGTGTGTTACATTTGTTGATACTGCATTTGTTTAACGATGTAAAGATGTGTTACTGGTTCACCTTGCCTGCCTAAGACACCTGATTGATCTAATAAAAAGCTGAACAGCCAGTAGCTAGGCAGAGGAGGGACAGGCAGGGCTGTCCAGTAGAGAGGAGGAGGGGGAGGTGGGGAGAGGAGGGGGGAGGGGAGGGGGAGGAGGGGAGGAGGAGGGGGGAGGGGGGAGGGGAGGGAGGAGGGGAGGACGAGGGGGAGGAAGGGGAGGGGGGAGGAGGGGGAGGACGAGGGGGAGGAAGGGGGAGGGGAGGAGGGGGAGGAAGGGGGGAGGGGGAGGAATCGGAATCTAGGCCTCAGGGAGGAGGAGAAAATGAGAAACTGAAGGAGACGCCCAGGGACAGACAGACAGACACAAGCAGCAGCAGAGTAGTACATACAGGAGGAAAGAAAGGCAAAAGGTCCCAAGGCAAATCACAGATGAAGAGAAACAGGTTAAATTAAGTTATAAGAGCTAGCAAGAATGCGCATAAGCTAAGGCCGAGCATTCCTAACTAATAAGTCTCTGTGTGATTTGGGGCTGACAGTCTGAAAAGGGGCTACAGCAGGTTGCTCTCTTTTCTTAAAAAAACAATTATTTTGGCTTCGTGTGCGTTGGTGTTTTTACCTGATGTGTGTCTGTGTGAGGGTCTCGGATCTGCTGTAACTGGAGTTACAGACAGGTGTGAGCTGACATGAGAGTGAGCCTGGGTCCTGTGCAGGAGCAGCCAGTGCTCCTAACCACTGAGCCTTCTCTCCCGCTCCACCCCCTTCCACCCCCCCCCCCCCCCCCCGCTTTTTTTTTTTTTTTTTTTTTTTTTTTACGGTTTTTCGAGACAGGGTTTCTCTGTGAAGCCCTGCCTGTCCTGGAACTCATTCTGTAGACCAGGCTGGCCTCAAACGCATAGAAATCCGCCTGCCTCTGCCTCGCAAGTGCTGGGATTAAAGGCATGCGCCACCCCCCCCCCCTTTTTTAAGAGAGAGAAAGTCTCACTCTGTAGACCAGGCTGATCTCGAACTCACAGAGATGCTTCTGCCTCCTGAGCTCTGGGATTAAAGGTGTGCGCCACCATCCGCCTTATTTTCAACCTTTTGACTTTGTCATGCTGACCAAGTGTTTTTGTGTCCTGTGTTTCCATTCTTCTTGGGCTATTCCTGCAGCGGAATTCCCAGACACTACAGTAATTATTTAGCTTTTTATTTTCATCTCTGTATGTGTGTACCTGTGCACCACAGAACAGTGTTGCAGAATTTAACTATGCAAAGGTGTGTTGCATTTGTTTAACTCTGTAAAGATGTGTTGCTGTGTTACCTTGCCTGCCTAAGGCACCTGATTGGTCTAATCAAAAGCTGAACAGCAGCCAATAGCTCGGCAGAGGAGGGACAGGTGGGCCTTCTGGGCAAGGAGTGTAAGTAGGAGGAGGAAATTAGCCAAAAGGGAAGAAAGAAAGAGACACCAGGTGTAACAGGCTTCCTTAGACCGCCAGCCCCCAAATCGTGACACGGAGACTAATTAATTATGAATGCCCGTCCTTAGCTTAGGCTTTTTTCTAGCTAGTTTTTTTTTAACTTAAATTATCCCATTTCTATTCATCTGTGTGTGGCCCTGAGGCTCGTTTACCTCATCCACTGCTGTCCATCCTGCTTTCAAGCTTCCTCTGTGTCTGGCTGACTGGCCTCCGGTTGGCTGGCGCCCTTTTCTCTGTGCCCGCCAGCCCCACCTGTCCCTCCTCTGCCGAGCTAGTGGCCGTTCAGCTTTTTATTAGACCAATCAGGTGCCTTAGTCAGGCAAGGTAAACCAGTAACACATCTTTACAGAGTTAAACAATTATTCTGCAACACAAACAGATGCAACACACCTTTACATAGTTAAACCAATATTCTGTTCCACAAAAGCCAGGGAGACGCCAGGGGCCAGCCAGACATGGAGGAAGCAGGAAAGTAGGACACACGGAATGAAAGAAAGGTAAAAAGCCCTGAGGCAGAACATAGATGAATAGAAACAAGTTAAATTAAGTTAAAAGAGCTAGTGGGACAAGCCCAAGCTAAGGCTGAGCACTCATAATTAATAGTAAGTCTCCATGTCTTTACATGGGAGCTGGTTGGTGGTCGTAAGAAAATTCCAACTACAGAATGGGGTGTCAGATCCCTGAGGCTGGAGTTACAGTGGTCGTGAGTCAGCACGTGGTTCTGGGAACCAGAAGGGTCCTCTTAGCACCGAACTGTCTCTCCAGACACGGTTTGTCCAAAGTCCCCTGCCAGCCTCACTCCCACGGGCCGGCCTCACTCCCACGGGCCGGCCTCACTCCCAGCAGCTCTTCGGAATTCTCGTTTCTGGTCCTGTCTGGAGCTGGGCGCTGAGTCCTGGTCCTGGGGCCACATGCTCAAGGCAGCACCTCTTTTTCCCAGACTGCCCTCCCTGTCACCCACTGCTCTGAGGAACAACAGGACAGTGCCAGGAGCCACACAGCCACCCCCGGTTGAGTCAGCCTGCCACCCACGCCAGGGCCCGTCCACTGTTCCCGTTTAGCTCACCCCTCACCTAGGCCAGGGCTCTCTCCTTAGGCCTTCTCCTCTCCCCTCTCCTCCCTCCCCAGGTCCTGCCTGCCCTGTCTTCCCACCCCCCTCATCTGCCATTCCTTCCTGCCCCCTGCCCTCCTATCCCTCCTGGGCCTGGCTCCGGTCACAGGCCCCAAGTCGCATCTCCTTTGGCTCATAGGTCATGGCATCGCTGTCCAACTTGGCAACTGGTGGCCCCTCGCCTCAGGACACCCTTCTGGTTGTTGAGACACCTGGCTCCTCCGTCCTCTGTTCTGTTCCAGAAACGCTGTGACAGCAGCTTGGTCTGGCAAGGAGGTGAGTGCCTGCTGGAGACGCAGAGCAGCTGCACAGGGGCGCCTCCTTTCCAGATGTGCAGGGCAGCGGGAGGACCAAGGCTCAGAGAAGGTTAAGTCAGGAGCCAGAGGACACAGGCAGGCCGGAGCCCAGCGTCCGCAAACCTGTGCGCCAGGAGGAACAGCCTCTTACTGGTGTGCATCCCAGCAGGGTGAGAGCAGCCTCAGGAAGAGCAGGACATGTGACAGACCCTCCCTGGCCCTGAATGGAACGACCCAGGTGGGAAGCCCTGACTACAATGGCCCCTGTGTACACACACCCACACCCACACCCACACCCCCCCCCCCACACACACACCCACACCCACACACCCACACACTCACACACCCACCCACACATCCACCCACACACCCACCCACACCCACACCCACACCCCCCCACACACACCCACACCCACACACCCACACACACATACATACACACACACACACACACTCACACCCACACCCACACCCACACACACACACACTCACACCCACACCCACACACACACACACACTCACACCCACACCCACACCCACACCCACACACACACACACTCACACACACACTCACCCCCCCCACACACACACCCCACACCCCCACTCACAGCTGACTGGTTTGGTTCTTTGTTCTCTTTGGAGACACATCCCTCTGTAGACCTAGCCGGCAGAGAACTGTCATGTATCCTAGTTTGGCCTAGAACTTACAGCCATCCTCCTGCCTCAGCTTCCCAACGCTGGGAAGATTGGTGTGCTCCTCTTGCCTGGTTCATGCGGAGATGGGGATGGAACCCAGGGCTTCAGGCACGCTCCGCTGGAGCCCTACCCACCCAGCCCTGGCCATACCTTTAATGCAATGCTTTCATTTCTGTTTTGTGAGGCAGGGTCTCTCTCTGTGCAGCCCTGCCTGGCCTGGAACTCGCTCTGTAGACCAGGCTGGCCTCAAACTCACAGAGATCCCCAGGGCTCTGCCTCCTGAGTGTCTATTTACTTATTTTTCTTAAAGATTTATTTTGTATACAGTGTTATGCCTGCAGGTCAGAAGAGAGAGCCAGACCTCATTACAGACAGTTGTGAGCCACCATGTGGGTGCTGGGAATTGAACTCAGGACCTCTGGAAGAGCAGCCAGTGCTCTTAACCTCTGAGCCATCTTGCCAGCCCCTATTTACTTACTTTACTCTTTTTTGTTTGTTTGTTTTTGTTTTTCGAGACGGGGTTTCTCTGTGTAGCCCCGGCTGTCCTGGATCTCACTGTAGCCCAGGCTGGACTCGAACTCACAGAGATCCTCCTGCCTCTGCCTCCAGAGTGCTGGGGTTTAAGGCGTGCGCCACCACCGCCAGCTATTTATATTACTCTTAATTACATATCTCTGTGTATATCTGCATGTGGGTTTATGCAGGTACAGCTACAGACCACACACGCTGGATCCCCCTGAAGCTGGAGTTACGGGTGTGTCCCCGACACAGGTGTATCACCTGAACTATGGCTCCTGCCTTGAATGTTTGACAGGGTCTTGCTAAGTGGCCCAGGCTGGCCTTAAGGTGATCCTCCTGTCTCTGCCTCTCAGTGTAGGGTTCCACGTGCACCAGTTTATGGCGCACACTCTCCCATTGGCTTCACACAAGGAAATAGGGCTTACCACAAGGGGACCAGGCCTGACAGAGAGGAGGGACCAGCCACAAGGGGACCAGGCCTGACAGAGAGGAGGGGCCAGCCATAAGGGGACCGGGCCTGACAACAGAGGGGGCCCGCTAGGGTGGGGAGAGGTCCAGAGAGGTTACTACCATCAAATGCATTCTGTGCATGGATGAGGATGCCACATCTGTGAGAGGCGAGACCCTCACTCCTCAGGAAAGCTAAGAGATGTCAGAGGGAAAGCCGGGTGGGTTCAGTCTGCGGGATCCCCCGTGGGCCTGGACAGAAGGCAGCCGCTGCTGGCTCACCCATGTGGCAAGGAACCACGGACTTCCTTCTCCGACTGCATCACCTCCCCGCTCTCCTTCGCCCACAGGCTGCCCTCCAGGCTTCCCAGAAGTCCCCCCGAAAATTCCCCATGCTCCTGGGGTCAGACAGTCTGCAACTTTCCAAGCCTAGGGTGAACCGAGAGCAGGATTGGCCAGGGCTTCCCGCTGGTCATGATTCTAGGATGATCCTGACCACACCTCATCCTGAAAATGGACCATCACTTAATTATGTCCTTTTCTCTTTTTCTTTTTCTCTCATTGGCCCTGTCTTCAGATTCATTTTTACTTTACTTTTTTTTTTTTTGGTTTTTCGAGACAGGGTTTCTCTGCGCACCCCTGGATGTCCGGAACTAGCTCTGTAGACCAGGCTGGCCTCAGACTCACAGTGATCCCCCTGCCTCTGCCTCCCGAGTGCCGGGATTAAAGGCCTGTGCAGCCACACCTGGCTTATTTTTACTTTTCGAATCGACCAGTTCTTCAATTCCCTTTTGTTACAGGCCCGATGTCTGACCCAATGACTGACGGCATTAGATCTGTATTGACGCTATGGGCATCTGTCGGTTGCTTCCTCTTTCGACAAGTTTTTCAGTTAGTCTCTTCCACAAGGGATAAAGCAGCAGCCTACACTCCTGTTACAGTCTGGAGAGATCGCTCAGTGGTTAGAGGTCCCAGGTTCAATTCCCCAGCACATGGTGACTCACAACTGTCTGTAACTCCAGTCCCAGGGAATCCAATGTTCTCTTTGCTCTCTGTGGGCAAACACACATACAAAATAAATAAATAGCTCAAAAAAAAAATCTAACCCAGTACTAATTCCAAGTGAAGTCGGGACTGAAACCTTCACCTCTTCCGTTCTGCAAACACCCTCGAGTGGACAGTCACTTCCTGCGTCGGATGCTCCCTCGCTGGCCAAGGGCCCTGGGAATGTTCCCCTCCAGAGCTGAATAATGGGACTAAAATGTAACACCTCCTACCACTCAAAACACAAGCCCTCTAACAGGCCCCAGTTAGCACATCCGACTCCATGGTGAACGTACCGTTCAGGTCCTAAACTCAGCAGGTAGACAGCACCCCCTGTCAAAATGAAAACACAGGCCTCATCCACCAAAGGCCACAGTTCTGGGACAGTCTCTGAATGTACTGACCTCGCTTTTTGGCTTCTGTGGTTCTGCTTCTGGCTAACTGTTCTTGCTAACGGAGGCATGTCACCCCAGGACATGGCTAAGGAAGGCTCAGGGCTACAGTGGGATCCTGAGCACCCAGTCACCAGCTGACTAATAAAGACTTGCTGTGGTCTTGAACCTGAGTCCGAGTGGACTTCTCTGGTGGACTCCCCACTCTTCCTCTTCGGCCAGCCTCGCATCTTGTTCTCCCGTGACGGTCCCAGTGTCGTCTGACTGGCTACACACTCTTTTAAGCTTTTGTAACAGGTAAAGCTTCGTTGATCATCAGAGATGGGTTAACTCACTCTAGATCCCTGTTTATTGTTGACCCAGATATAGCCCGTTCAAATCCTGCAGGGGTTCAGTTTCTAGTTTAATTTCTCTGGATTCAATGAGAGGTCGGAGGATCCAGATTTTGGCCTCTCAGCCCTGGGATCGGCTTTCTGCAGAGGAGGAGGCTGAAGGCCGGGATGTAGGGCGCATCTAACTGAACCAGCGTGCAGCTCCCACGTCCACGGTAACACCAGTCCCAGGAACAACGCAGAGAAGTCGCCATTTGCTCCTCTGACTTGGGATATTCGGGACATGGGAATTGGCTCCAAGGGCGCTCACTGGGTGAGAGAATCTATCCCCCTGTCATGTGAGACAGGAAGATTAATTCACACTCCATCCTGAGAAAAAAGCAGGTTCCATTGTGCTGGTCCACACAGCCAGGAGCAGCAGCCACACACTCCAGCAAGTCTCATTTCCCTGTGGGTCCTCATCCTGAATCAGGGCCAGCTCGTAATTTGCTCCATCGGTCCTGTGTCACATCCCCGGGGAAAGGACCTTGATAAGCAAACTTAGCAACCGCTTCTGCTGCCTCACGCCGACCGGGTCATTTGACTCACCTCACCCACAGTCGGCCTTGTGTCTCTCGGAGGTCTCCAATCCCTTATCCCACTGGCGTTTCCCTCTTGAATCCTGCAAGGGTTGAGGTCCTCCTTGGCTCCCCAGGGCATGTTCAGTAGCTGTTTGCTGAAGGCCTGACACAGACAGGAGCTGGCCAAGCAGATCCGGTCACCTCCACCGGTCCTGGTGGTGACTGTGAACAGGACCACATCATGGGGACCTCGTCTGGGGCCTAGAGACCCTTTAGGGTATTGATCTTTAGGTGAGAGGTTTATTCTGACACAGGCTGTGGTCCGTCAGACCACTCAGGAGTCCCTGGCAGCTAGGGTCTCGGGATTTGGGGGGGGCAGAAAGATTTATGGGCTCACTAAGGGCCTTTTGTTTCTGGGTCTGCAGCTTCTAACCACAAAAGCACTGCTTTCGTTTCTTATTGTTTGTTTGTTTTTTCGAGACAGGGTTTCTCTGTGCAGCCCCGGCTGTCCTGGAACTCCCTCTATAGACCAGGCTGGCCTCGAACTCACAGAGATCCGCCTGCCTCTGCCTCCTGAGTGCTGCGATTAAAGGTGTGTGCCACCACCGCCCCGGCAAGGTGTGTCTTGGTGTTATATCCGGTTTTATCTATGTTGGGTGGGTGTTCGTTCCCCTCTTCGTTATTGCTGCCCTTTCTGGATCGGGGCAAGTGTGGTGGCTGTGGCGTTCCTGGTAGGGAAAGCTGCTGCAGTTGGCTGGTGACAGAAACCAATGGAGACGGACTAGGAGGAAGGCTGAGAAGTGCCCCAGAAAGGAACTAGGGAGACCCGGGGTCCACACGAATAGGGTTTCTGTACCCCAATAATAGGTTTCTCTGCCAATGCTGCAAGCCAGCTCAAGCCAAATTAAAAAGTAAAAGACCAGGTTCATTCTGGGCAAAGCAGCTCCTGGGTGACTCCTCCAGCCCCCAGAGATGGAGGCAGAAGGGGCAGGAAAACAATCACATGGCCAGTCTAAAGAGGGGCCTTAAATTCCCTGCAGGCGCTGGGGTGATGACGTGTCCACCGCAAGCCGGGTTTGTGCCCAATTATAACACTTTAGGTGGGGGCTGGGCAGCCGGCAGCCCCAGCCAGGAGTGCAGAGCTGGACTTCTTGGTGGTTTTTCTGAGAGGGTGGAGGAATGGGGCTTTCTCAGCTGGAAGTTCCAGCAGAAGACCCACCACGAGGAAGACGAAGCAGAATCCCAGGGAAGGGAGGTGTCTCAGTTAGGGTGTAAACTGCTGTGAAGAGACACCATGACCACAGCAACTCTTACAAAGGAAACTATTTATTTGGAGTGGCTGACAGTTCAGAGGTTTAGTCCATCATCATGGTGGGACATGGCGGCCTGCAGGCAGACGTGGTGCTGGAGAAGGAGCTGAGTCCTACATCTTGACTTGTGGGGCCACAGGAAGTGGTCTGACACAATGGGCGGTATCTTGAGCATTTTTATAGCTGTCCGTCCTCAGGGATCGTGAGCTGGTCCACTGGGAGTGGGGGAGCCGAAGCGGCGGACAGGGTTCAGAGGGCTGTGGATAGGAGGGGGACAGTCCTCCAGGAGACTCTGGTGAACCAGCTTGACGAGTATAGGAAATGTATAGGATGGGGAGGCCTGGGGACAGGCCCTGATTTGCATTAAGCGGCACACTCCTATCGTAAGGGTAGGCTGGTGACAGCAGGGTCCTGTAGTGAAGCTCCTAGTACAAATCCTAGCTGCCACGTGAGAAGCCGGAGAAAGGCATCTGGCAGGAAACTGTGCCATGGGTCAGGCTAGAGATAATCAGGCATCCAGGCTTAGGGACAGCTTCCAGAGGTCAGTCCTCCAGGCTGAGCCACACTCTCCAGATAAGGGCAGATAGGGAGCAGAAGTCTCGTGGGGGCAGGGAGTCCCTCAGGTTTGGAGCGAGCTGCCAGGCTATGGTAGACTGCAACCTCTGACCTCTGGGCCTCCCAACAACATGAGACCTCGAACCCGCCTCCTCAGGGACGCACTTCCTCCACAAGGCCACACCTCCTCATAGTGCCACTCTTTGGGGGCCAGTTCCTTTCAAACCACCACAGCAGGCGGGGTGAGAGGAGGGACTCCTGTTATGCCCAGATTGGGACCCCAAAGACAAACCACCACAGACCTTAGGTTCAGAATGCAATTAGCATGGTTTATTTCTGTTTACAAGCCGCGGACAGGGAAGCTCAATCCAAAGCACTCACTCTTAGTCGTGAGGCCAGGAGGAACTTGCTTTTTCTTTGTGTGGCTAGCTTTTTAAAGGTAAAATCCACAAGCCCTTCAGGGGGGTTGGGGGAGTTTTGCACGGGTGCAACTCGGATTGGTTTATCTTTATCTCTGTTCTCTTTTAATTGGGTGAGGGTATGTAACCTTTGAATCTACTGGTTGGTGGTTACAATTTATTACTTTGGGGGCAGTCCAGCACAAGTCCCAGGCTTTGTCCTTGAGCCACCATGGGGGCTGGCTGGCCAAGCACGTACTGCACATAACTCTAAGTTGGTGAGGGGCCCCAGAAAGTAAACATCTGGCTGAACTTTGAGCAGTCTTTTGTTCATGGCCCTCCCAGAAACTGCTTGCTCAAGTCTCAGGAAACTGAAATTGAGGCCTGATCTCTGAGAGGAGACTGAGCAGCCTGTTATGGCGTCTGCTTGGTCCTTTCAGTCCTATGGCCCGCACATGTATGTTCTCTCACAGCTGGGCCCTCCCCTCAGTGGTACGCATCCAGTTGGCCACTGGGAAGCCTCGCCGTGACCCCAACTGTGTTCCTAATATCCCATGATGCCCAGGTACTCAGGCTCTGACCGTTCATTACCACCAACGATGACAG